GTCGTCGAAAAGAGCATATTCCAAAATTTTTCTTCGTTAATTATCACCCCACTGTCTGGCATATTGACACTGACTAATTATTGTTAACAAACATATCAGTGCCACTTGACGATTGATAAACTGTTGTGTATTGTAATAAAAATGCTTGTATATTGGAGTAGAGCCAGAGTGAGATGAGGATCTAATTGAAAAGTAAATATTTCTTCGCTCAATCTTTCTCTTTTCTAAATGCCTAAATGGGGATATTTTCTATATTAAAATTGTTTGTTTGTGAAGCCATTCATCAGTAAAATCTGAAACTGACGAGTGAACTCCTCTATCACAAGGAGCACATTATCAGCGGGGTTATCCACCAAAAATGTCGACCGATCATTAAGGGTTTCATTCATCTTATTTTGTCTTTTATTGTCTAATTTATTTCTGATGACAAAGCCTTCTCTTCTCTTGCAGGTTCAAGGATGATAAGATTACCTCATTCAATGAATTCCTTAAATGTGGCGTGATGTTCTTTTGGTTAGCCATTTTTCTCGTGTATTCTGGCATTTACAAAACTCCAAAGGACTCATTAATTTATCAGAATAGAAATCCACCAATCCACAATCATCCATTGCAAATTACTTATTCATTATTAATGTTAGGCTACAAAATCAATATTATCAATATCATTAATGACTGCTTCACAATTATTTCATGACTTTACAGTCTGTCGTAATTGTCTACTCTATTATGTGTAGAGCTTTAAGCAACGAACAAAATCAAATATCAAAATTTAGCCGTTTTTCAGCACTGAAAAGAACCAAGGTATTATGACCATATCACACTCCTTCCCCTCTAGACATGTAGCATTAAAAAAGTGGTGGGAGGAGAAATGACCATACAGCATTCCACTACCATCCAACTAGATACATGTAGGCATACCACAGGACTCTACAAGATCAAATACTTGAAAGCAATGTCTGTGTCAAGAAACCAGCGACATATTTTCAGCTTCAAAATATAATTGTGATAAGTCGCTCATGTCCTTATCACAGATAAATATTTCTGGCTATGTTGCACGACTACGGGACTATTTCATCGTTCACTATAAGGCCGGATGAGCACAGAGTAATATTCTGCCACGAGTGAAATCAAAAACTATCAGGTGGTAATGTCATCGTCTCATCGTTCGCCGTTCAGAGGAAGATAAACAACTATGAGAAGTATCATCGCGATTGATTGTTGTAACATTTATTCTTAGACCTTGTGTATAATAACCTTATTGTTGGTTACATATTGGCGTAAGAATAAAGGATTCTTGAGTCGCCAATCAGTGTTCTGGTTTTTCGCGTCAGTTATTACACATTGTTTCTGAAAGTCTTCCAGGGACAGCATGAGGTCTAGCGTAGTAGGAGCTGGACAGTGACAGTTTATGAGGTTTGGATGACAATTACTTTATTTCAGGATAATACCTCTGATAGTTTTGTGTCTTCCAGCGAACAGCGAACGATGAGACGATGACTGCCGTATTGATGACTCACGTGAAAACTATGGAGGTGTTGAGTTTGAGCAAACAACCACGAATTGATCGTTCAATCTTCAATTACATTAACACCATCACTGGTATCAATTCTTTTCTTGATGAGCTGGATCAAATTTATCGTGCTCCTTCGTGAATTCCTTGCTCTGTGAAGTAGCAGACTGTTTATTTTGTCAATGCATATTCTGCCTGTTGAGTCCATCAACCTAGCTCCGTTTTTCGGAACATAAATGAATTTCTAATGCTCCAAAATTAATTATGCCCGAAACACTGTAATCTGATTCTTGATTAGTCTGTAATAGACAGATTTCTTGTCAAATGCCCCCTCAACGATCTATTTATAATATTTATACTTATTTAGACGTTTCTGATAACTCGTCAATTATTATACGTTTCTCCCCTAGACTTTTTACCATTAATACGACATTTGTATATCTCATATTGACCGTGTCCTCTGATATTTGTCCTAATTTAATCCTTAACTGCAATAATTTCATTGTGGTTTCGTGTAAATTGACAATTTGTTGAGCAGCGGTGAGTTTTTTGAGCGAGTTAAAGTCATCGTAACCCAGGACTCTCTGCTGAAAGTGTTAATGTGGACAGAGCTATTGATACCACCTCATTGAGGATATTCTCCTCGATTCTTAGGTGCTTTTCACAGGTGAACTTTGGTTAAATAATTTTGTCCTACAGTACCCGTCTTGTATTTAGATATCTGCATTGCCTGCATAGCTACCTCACGGCATTGTTGAGTTTCGATATTATTACTGTTGAATAAAAGTGCAAAAATACCCTTTCGGAACGTTTCTAGATAGTGCGTGTCTCAACGGAGCTTTGCCAGCTACATAGTAGAATGTAAAGATCGGTTTCTTATGTTCATACCATGACCGAATAAATTTGGTCGTTACACACTGCATCTCTTAACGTTACTCTAGAAACCCCCAAGTGCGCTCAATTCTTTTAACGAGACTTGTGGAGTCCTCAAAAAGAAACTTATCCAAATTTTACTACTATGTAAATAATGAACATATTGTACACCACTTTGTTTTAACCAGAAACTCTGTACTTTGACTTTACCTCGGGTTTTGAATAAATATACAGCTGTGCCTTCGACTCTCCGTCTTCTCCACCATCTCAACTGCCGTCGATCAATCCTAATCACCTGCTTTCTATCTCTGATTTTTGCAGGAGCACCGTAGTTTCTTCCTACGTACTTTGGTCGACCTCCGGCAACGTTAACATTGGAGAATTACTACTGGAGCAGTCTTTCCGCAGCACCTGGAGTCTATTACGTTTATTGTGGACTGTGGACCTTTGTAAACTCAAGTAATCAAACTTTAATACATTCTTCCCGTAACTAAACTCATTTGGTATTTTATTTTCTACTTGAATTTGGGTAACTAAGCTAATAGAGTGAAAAGGTCCACCACAATAATTGGTGAGCCCGTTTCGAACCCTTTTTTTATGGTTAACCCGTTTTCGAACCTTTTTGTTTCGATAGTTACCTCGTTTTGAACATTTTTGTTGCTATTTTGTCCTTATAAACTCGCACTGCTTTAATTTTTGTTACCACAAGTTTTTCTATTTTGTATATCTATATACTTACATATTATATGACAATGGCTCCACCTAAACGTACCACTGTTGCTGAAGAAGGTAATAAAGGCGAAGAGACACAGAACTCTGCTGTTAACGCCTTGCCGGATTTAAGACTTCCTCAATTTGATCTGGCTGAACCACGTGTCTGGTTCACAATTATTGAACAGTTGTTTGCAGCTCGAGGTATTACGTCGCAGATCGCCATGTATGGTTGCGTATTAGCAGCAATTCCCACGGAAGTACTACGAGAGGTTATCGATGTCATAGACAGCAAACCTACAGACTCTCAATATGACAAACTAAAAGCTGCACTCATCCAGCGGACCACTCTCTCCGATGAGAAACGCATACAACAACTACTTACTTCGTGTGATCTAGGTACAAAAAAGCCATCTCAACTACTTAGACATATGCGCCAGTTGATTGGGTCACACAAAGTAGATGAGTTAATTCTACGTCAGATGTTCTTACAACGTTTACCACAAAATGTTCAACAAATCCTAACAATATCTTCTAGGACGACAGACCTTGAAGAATTAGCTAAAATGGCAGACGATATCATGGATGTGTTATCAAATAATGGCATAAATAGCGTGTCTACAGAGGCAGTACCACCAAGCCCTTCCACATCTATGAAGGACGCACCAATGTTTTGGTTACTTTCCCAGTTAACATCTCAAATGCAAGATTTACGACTGGAAGTGTCCGAGCTTCGAGCACAAAGGAACCAGTCACATACTGTATCCAAGCAACGGCGATCAAGATCTAGACGACGTTCTAGAACACCGTCTCAAAGCCGTAACATTTGTTGGTATCATAGGAGGTATGGGCATAATGCCCTGAAGTGTATTCGACCGTGTATGTACAACAGTAGTAACTCATCTCAGGGAAACTCCCCAGCCAGACAGTAATGGCGACGGCTGTTAATGGCAATCACCCCAGTCGCCTTTTCTATGTGAGGGATTTGACTACCGGCACATTATTCCTGGTAGATACAGGCGCCGAGGTCAGTGTTATTCCCCCCTCACTATCCAGGCGATCAGCCAAAATACCTGGAAAACTTTCACTTCGTGCTGCCAACCAAACCAACATACAGACGTATGGCGAACAGTCAATGATTTTAAATTTAGGACTACGCCGACGTTTCACATGGATCTTCATAGTAGCTGACGTACGTCACGCTATACTAGGTGCAGACTTCCTAAGTCACTTCAATCTGTTAGTTGATATCAGCAAGAAAAAACTGGTTGACAATTGCACCCAACTCAAGATCCATGGTATTACATGTGACTACTCGGTTCATAGCATCTGTATAGAAAAGCCGGAGAGTGAAATGTTCTCTGCTTTATTGAAACGATTTCCTAAAATCCTTAAACCATCATACAACGTTGAAGATATATCTCATACAGTTACGCATAAGATCATCACAACAGGACAACCTGTGAAGGCACGTCCACGACGGTTACCACCCGATAAACTAGCAGCAGCTAAGTCGGAATTCGAACATATGATGCAGCTAGGTATCATACGACCATCTAACAGCCCATGGTCTTCACCTCTGCACATGGTACCTAAAACTAATCATGACTGGCGACCATGTGGAGATTATCGCGCTTTGAATAACGCTACGGTCCCAGATCGTTATCCTATACCTCATCTCCACGACTTCTCCTTGAACTTACATGGAAAGACCGTTTTTACCAAAGTTGACTTGGTCAGGGCATATCATCAAATACCAGTCGCTCCAGAAGACATTGCAAAAACAGCAATTATTACGCCTTTTGGATTATTCGAATTCTTGAGAATGCCTTTCGGACTAAAGAATGCTGCTCAAACATTTCAGCGTTTTATGGACCAAGTTACCCAAGGTCTTGATTTCGTCTTTGTATATATCGACGATGTCTTAATTGCCAGCTCATCGATGGAAGAACATATGCAACACTTAAGCCTGTTATTTCAAAGGTTTGAACAATTTGGAGTTGTTATCAATCCAAAGAAATGTATTTTTGGTTCCCCTTCCATTGAATTCTTAGGACATCGAATAACTGCTGAAGGCATCAGACCTACCGAAGATAAGATAGAAACTATTAAGAACTTTCCCGAACCTGATTCCTTAAAGAAACTTAGACGTTTTCTCGGGATGTTCAACTTCTACCGACGTTTTATTCCATCATGTGCCTCCATAGTTCAACCACTGACCGACCTACTTAGATGCAATTCGAAGAAATTTCAGTGGTCTGAAGAAGCAAAAGCAGCATTTAATAATGCAAAAGATGCCTTATCCAACGTCGTAATGTTATCTCACATCAACCCAGAAGCTTCACTCATTTTATGTACAGATGCATCGCAGGTAGCAGTGGGAGCAGTTTTACAACAAAAGTTCAATAATGACACCACTCCACTTGCTTTCTTCTCCAAAAAGTTGGAACCTGCGCAAACTCGTTACAGTACCTTTGGCAGAGAACTGTTAGCCATCTACCTAGCAGTGAAACATTTCAGCTTCTTACTACAAGGTCGACATTTTACTATCTTAACCGACCATAAGCCTCTTTGTTATGCTTTCACCACTTCGTTGGACAGACACTCTCCGAGAGAAGCCAGACAACTGGATTACATCTCACAATTCTCAACAGACATCCAGTTCATCAAAGGAGATTCTAATATCGTAGCCGATTCTTTGTCTCGATGTGACGTTAATCACCTATCTTCGATAGATATTAGCTTAGACAATATTGCCAAGCTGCAGAAAAATGACGCCGAACTCCATACTTGTAGACGAAACTCCTCCCTACAGTTGCAGGATGTACCTATTCCCCTGTCTGATACAACTATCGTCTGCGACGTTTCAACGGGAGTTCATAGACCTTTTGTTCCACTAAGTTGTCGAAAAACTTTGTTTGAACATCTACATTCATTGTCTCATCCTGGAGTGCGTGCTACAGTCAAGTTGATCAGCGAGCGTTTTGTTTGGCCCAAGATGAACTCCGATATTCGGAAATGGGCCCGCCAATGCTTGCAATGTCAAAGATCCAAGGTACATCATCACACCGTCACACCTCCAAAACAGTTCAATTTACCCGATAAACGATTTCAACACGTTCATATAGATGTTGTTGGACCATTACCGCCATCCAGAGGATTTACTCATATACTTACTGCGATTGATCGATTTACCCGATGGGCTATTGCTTGTCCACTCAACGATATATCTGCAGAAAATATCGCTTTGGTTTTCTTAGATCGCTGGGTGTCAAACTACGGAGTACCCACAACTATTACAACAGACCGAGGAGCTCAATTTCAATCAACTCTGTTTCGAGAGTTTACGAGACTCCTTGGAGTGAACCATATCTCCACTACAGCTTATCATCCTGCAGCGAATGGTCTGGTGGAACGTTTCCATCGACAACTGAAAAGCTCGCTTATGGCACAAGCTGACTCATCTAAGTGGAGTGAACACCTACCATTAGTTCTTCTCAGTATCCGATCAACTGTAAAAGAAGATTTGGGATGTACACCAGCTCAACTTGTGTATGGTACTACCCTCACATTGCCTGGTCAGTTAGTTCCGTCTAATGATTCAACTGAAGTAAATATCTCCGACTTCACCAACCGCCTTACCCAGCATATGCTTCAGCTTAGACCAGTAGCCCCTCGCCAATCACTTCATAAAGCTCAAGTAAATAAGAACCTACTCACTAGCAAATTTGTATTTGTTCGCGTCGATGCCATTAGAAAAGGTTTACAACATCCATATGAAGGTCCTTTTCTAGTACTTAAACGCACCGAAAAATACTTCACGCTGAACAAACATGGTAAACCGGAGACTGTTTCTATCGACCGTCTTAAACCAGCGTACACCGACAGCGAACATGAAACACTAGCAACGCCGACACCAATAAACAATCAGCAAGTCAATGCAACTCCAACTCTCCCGCTCTTCACTCTTCCCCCTGTACAGACACGCAGTGGGCGGCAGATCTGTAAACCTGCCCGCTATGTTCATTTCATTGACTGACATAAACGTTAACCTCATTTAGACATACTTCTCATTACTATTGTTGTTAACATTCACTTCATTATAACCATTAATATTTATTAGTATTATTATTTGCTGTTCGTCAACTGTACTGCAAGCACACGCATTCACCACGTATATGTGTATATCTATTTATATATGAATTTCACAAATGTTAACAAACATGTCATGGTTTATTATGTACATAAATTTTTATTTAAAATTATAACAAGTTTTGATTTTTTTTTAAAATTCCTGTATGTGCTTGTATGTGCTAAACTTTATACGACACGGATGCATTCCATACATCCTGATCTAACTTTGTATCCTTATTGTTGTTATTTTTTGTTATCCATATTGTTGACATTATCCCTTATTTATGTTGCTTATATTCATGTAATCGTCCACGAGGGCAGTACTGATGGTCCTCCGGACCTCTAAGAGGGGGAGCCCTGTGGAGTCCTCAAAAAGAAACTTATCCAAATTTTACTACTATGTAAATAATGAACATATTGTACACCACTTTGTTTTAACCAGAAACTCTGTACTTTGACTTTACCTCGGGTTTTGAATAAATATACAGCTGTGCCTTCGACTCTCCGTCTTCTCCACCATCTCAACTGCCGTCGATCAATCCTAATCACCTGCTTTCTATCTCTGATTTTTGCAGGAGCACCGTAGTTTCTTCCTACGTACTTTGGTCGACCTCCGGCAACGTTAACATTGGAGAATTACTACTGGAGCAGTCTTTCCGCAGCACCTGGAGTCTATTACGTTTATTGTGGACTGTGGACCTTTGTAAACTCAAGTAATCAAACTTTAATACATTCTTCCCGTAACTAAACTCATTTGGTATTTTATTTTCTACTTGAATTTGGGTAACTAAGCTAACAGAGTGAAAAGGTCCACCACAGACTTACTAAAACTAATTGATGAACTTATTTGTGCAAAAATCTATGTCTCATCACTAGCTGAGTTCTGAAACCACCATGACTGGACTATAAACTACAGTTTACCAGGAAAAACCTCCTGCGAAATCATCGCTTGACGGTAGCAACCAATTGTTTACAGAGGCGGATATAATATTAGATGGACATCTATAGTGAAGTATCTTCCATCGGTATCTGTTTTACCGCAGAGCTGACTATTGTCAAATAAGATAACCGCTTGTTCCATACGCGGCTCTGATTCAATAAACACGAGTTGTGTCTCCTATTCATATATTGAGAAATTCTCACGTGATTGTTTATATTCCGTCTTATTGTCGCTGTTTTCAGATAACCCTAGCAGTAACCTTCGAATTCTTGTAATTGTCGCCCACAAGGTTAAATGGGCTAGACTGAAGAGCCGGTAGATATTGTGGCCATAGCACATGTCTAGGAGATAAGATGGCGAGATAACAATCATGCCTGTGGGTTCTAGTCCAAATCAATCGGAAAGGTGCTCGAAATCGCTCACACAGCTTAGCTGACTCGAATTGAAGCGATTAACTGCAGTATGCCATGAGTGGGTAATAAACTCCTTTATATTTCGATTTGGGTTAACCACGAAATTGAAGGTCTCTATCGTAATTACTGGCAGTATTTCTTGAATAAAGGAACTTTTAGCAGCATCACCAAGATTTCCATTACATAGCGTTGCTTGAAAAATCAGCTCTTCATTTCGAATTCCGCAAGAGTTAACAGCTGTCTGAGCTTTCGGTCTAAACACTGGGCTGAAACACAAAGAATCATTATTATTATTATTATTGTATCCTTTAGTTCCTAGAGGAACATAGGGCTTCAGCTGCGCACCTCCATTGACTTCGGTTTTTTGACAACTTTTTCACCCTACTCCAGGTCTGCCCACATGCTTTCATCTCCTCTTCACATGACCTCCTCCAAGTCACCCTTGGACGACCAACTCGCCGCCTCCCTTTCGGGTTCCACTCGAGGGCTTGTCTAGTGATGTCACTTGTTGGTTTCCTCAGCGTATGGCCAATCCATCTCCATTTCTTTCTGCCTATTTGTTTCACAATCAGTTCCTGATTGGTTCGCTCCCAGAGATCCCTGTTGCTGATCTTTTCTGGCCATCTGATCTTGAGTATTGAGCGGAGACAGTTGTTAATGAAGGTTTGAAGTTTGTTTGAGATGCTCTTTATGACTCGCCAAGTCTCTGATCCGTATAGTAGCACTGACTTCACATTGGAGTTGAAAATCCGGATCTTATTTTTGATGCTGAATGCTGTTGACCTCCACACAGATTTGAGAGTAATGAAAGCTTGTCTTGCTTTTCCGATTCTGGCTTTGATGTCCTCGTCAGTTCCGCCTGTAGTTGAGACGATGCTTCCCAGGTAGGTGAAGGAGGTTGTTTCTTTCAGGTTCTTCCCATTTATGCTTATTGTGGTCTGTTGTTGCTGTTGATGTTGGCAAGGAATCTTCATCATCTCTGTTTTATCTATGTTCACGTGAAGTCCTATCTTTGATGCTTCTTCTGCCAACTTGTTACTTTTCATTTGCATATCTTCCAGTTTATGGGAAATCAGACATATATCATCGGCGAAATCCAGATCCTCCAAGTCTTTTGTGTCAGTCCATTTTATGCCTGTTCCCTCGTTGGTTGACGTTGTCTGTCGCATTATCCAATCGATTGCAATCAGGAAGATCATTGGTGATAGTAGACAGCCTTGCCTCACTCCCGTCCTCACTTCAAAGGCTTCCGTAAGTTTCCCGTTGTGGATTACTTGGCATGCAGCATTGTCGTATAACTGTTGGATGAGGTGTATAATTGTCGATGGGACCCCGTAGTAGCGAAGTAGTTTCCAAATGACCTCTCGATCGACGCTGTCGAAGGCCTTTTCAAAGTCGATGAAGTTGAGATAGAGAGGTGACTGCCATTCCAAGCTTTGTTCAATGATGATCCGTAGAGTGGCGATTTGATCAATACATGATTTGTTTCTCCTGAATCCAGCCTGTTCCGGACGAAGTTTTTCATCTAGGGCTTGTTTGATTCTCTCCAGGATGATGCGACTTAGTATCTTGTTTGGAATGGACAGAAGCATAATTCCCCGCCAGTTTTTACATTGACTTAAGTCTCCTTTCTTTGGAAGTTTGAATAAGTAACTGTTCTTCCAATCCTCGGGTACTTTGCCCTCTTTCCACACCTTCTCCAGTAGTGGTGTCATCAAGTCCGCTGTTGTCTCTGGGTCTATTTTCAAAGCCTCTGCTGGGATTCCATCTGGTCCCGGTGTTTTCCCAGTTTTAAGCATCTTGATTGCATTCAGGACTTCTGATTTCGTCGGGGGGTCAGTGTTCACTGGTAGTTCTGCTTCCGTTGTTGGTATTGCTGGACGTGTTGTAGGTGGCGGACGATTTAGAAGTCTTTTGAAGTGTTCAACCCAGTGCTTTCTCTGTTCCACCTCTTTGGTGATTGACTTTCCATTGTCGTCCTTTATTGGCTTAATCTGTGTCGAACGTTTGCCCGAAAGGTTCCTGGTTGTTTGGTAGAGTGTGGCGAGGTCTCCTTTGCCTGCAGCTTGTTCTGCTTCGTTTGCCATGGTTTCATAATATTTTCTTTTGTCTTCCCTGGCACTTTTCTTCACTCTTTTGTTCAGTGTATTGTAGCTTGCATTCAGCTCCTGTTTTTGTTGCTCGTCGGTGCACTGGATAATCTTTTGCTTCACTGTCCTTCTCTCTTCTATTAGTTTCCAAGTGTCCGTAGTGAGCCACTGTTTGTCCTGTCTCTTTTTTCTGCCTAGAATTTCTATACAGGTTTGGCTCCACACCGTTTTCAAGTTGTTCCAGTGCTTTTCAACGCCGACCTCTTCGCTAGTGTTGATTTGTGTCTCGGCTTTGTCCTTTATGCTTGCAATGAAGATGTCCTTTGTAGCCTGGTCCTTCAGCTTTTGAGTGTTGAACTTGGCTTGTGGTCTATCTACAGCTCCTCCTTCTTTGAAAGCTTTTAATTTGATTTGGATTGTCCCTTGTACGAGATAGTGGTCTGAGCCAACGTCTGCTCCTCTTCTTGCTTTTGTGTCCAGTAGGCTGCGCCTCCACTTCCTTGAGATTGAGATGAAGTCGATTTGGTTTTTGGTTTGCCCGTCTGGTGACACCCATGTAGCCTTATGGATGTCTTTGTGCTTGTATACACTGCCACCAATCACCAGTTCGTTGAAGGCGCAGAAGTCGGCGAAGAGTTCTCCGTTTTCATTCATTTCTCCTAGAGCTTCTCTACCCATGATGAGTTCCCTTCCCGTATTGTCTGGTCCCAGTTTGGCGTTCATGTCTCCCATTAGTATTTTCATGTCGCCAACTGGAGTATTGTCCATTGTTGCCTGTAGTTGCCTGTAGAATTCTTCTTTCTTCTCAAGGTCTGCGTTGTTTGTGGGTGCATAACATTGTATGATTGACACTTTCCTTCCTTTGGAGTTGAACCTGGCGGTCATTATCCTGGACGAAATCGCCTCCCATTGTATCAGGGCTTTCGTTGCCGTTGGTGACATCATGATAGCCACGCCCTCGGTGTGCGTGTGGTTGTCTTCTGGGTGACCGGAGTAGATCACTGACTCACCTGTTGACAATTTGGTGAGTCCACTCCCATTCCATCTGCTCTCACATATTCCCAGCACTTGTATTCCGTATCTTTTCATCTCGTTGGCGATCTGGGCAGCTTTTCCAGTCTCGTACATAGTTCGGAATCATAAAGGACTGATTCGAAATGCAATGCTTCTGATGATCGCAGAGTTTACTTCAGGCTGGCAGAACAGCGCGGTATGGATGAAACTTTTCTGGGATCAAACCAATAACAATGTACACACATCTGTAATGTACTGACGCATCACACAAGCTAGAAGAGAACGGATCATTTGAGGTCTAATGATTAGGGAACTGCTCGCGCAAACTTAGGAATTATTCTGATTTATGTCTGAAAAAAATGATACTGGTAAAGTTACCACCTGACACACTGTTAACGACAGTCGCAATACGAATTCAGCCCATCACTTCTGTCAGCTCTCGCTCGGACGACCCCAAAGGTTTTCTTTTCTTACCCGTATGTTCATTCATTTACATATTTCGCCGTCTATCTGAATAAATTTTCTTCCACTATTCGTCTTTCTCCCTAGCCTCAAAATTATCAATATCTCAGTCCTTGGAACAGTATAGAAATCATGAAAGATGAAGGCTACAAACACCCGCTCATAATTAGACAGCTTTCCGCCACTCAAAGTTTAGTAGGGCTAAAACAAGAGAATTGTGGAATTAACTGCCGAAGATCCTATCAGGTAGTATTACTTCGGAAAGGAATTGCAGGTGTGAAAAAGTTAATTTGGTTTATGCGTGTTTGTGAAAATACTGTTGCTTTTTAGTATAAGGATAACTGGAGCTTATAGAGCAGCTTCAACTCTAGAACAGGGGCAAGAACATCCTGTTCAAGCAACTTATACGAAAACTTTGTGGTCTCCTAGAGGTAATTTTTTGTGCTACAACTTAAATACAGAGCTTTTGTGAGATGTAAGTAATATTTTATCAATCATTATTGTCACACATGGAGACCGAGTACCTACTACTTCTTTGCACATCTTATATGCAATCTCACGGTCAGTCAAGGCTTCACAAAAGCCCCCAGCGGCTATTTTTCTAAAAGGAAACGTTCCGACTATTGATCACGAAGTGCGGCTCACATCTGTCATGTGTCACATCCATTCAGTAAAGAAAGTAATTCTACTTCACCAAACTTTACAATAGTGCGATCACCATTCTCACCTTAAAACCCAGTAATAACAAATCACATAACCATGGCGATTATAA